GGCTCATGCCTCTTGCGGCACGCGCCCGATGCCGCTTAAACCGCGGGAGGTGTTCTCGAAGCAAAGTCACCGCGGGCACGCGAGGGGGAAAAAGGTGTTTCCTTTCTGACGTAAACACGCGCCGGTGCTTTCTCCCCGTCCAGCTGACGGCCTTTGCATACCGAGATTACCTGTCCTTCGGTTACGTGTACGTCGGACTGCGAGGCACCGAAGAGTTGTCCAGTCAGTACAACATCAACGTCTACACTCCCACCATGATGATCTTCAAGGAGCACGTCGACAGGCCCGCCGACGTTGTGCAGGTATTGCTCAGAGCCCTCTCCGAGAGCTTCTGTGAAACGGACGCTGAGGTTTTCTGACCAAGCTCGCGACGAGAGGCTGGTCGGCGGCGCGTTTCAAAGTACGGAGCGTTCGTTCTCGGCATAACTTCGGGCTTCAGCAGAGCCAGAGGGTGACCGTTAGGAGAGAGGAGGAGGCTCTGCGGGCTGGAGCTATGGCATCTGACCTTTATGAGGAGGGTGGCCGCAGGTAGCCTCTCCGTCTGGGGGCCTCAAAGCATGTCGGGAGACTTCAGCAGGGGCCGTGACGGCCGACAGCCTTCCCGAGGCTTCAGACCGGAACGGCGCGACAGCTTGACCCTCCTCATCCTGCTCCGTTCTGACCTCTGCTTTCTCTGTCCTCGCCAGGCACGAGACATGAAGCAGCAGCTCATGGACGACTTCCTTTCCCAGAATAAGTTCCTCATGGCCGCCAGACTCGCCAACCAGAGGCTGTTCCAGGAGCTGTGTCCCGTGAAGAAGTCTCACCGGCAGCGAAAGTAAGGCTCCGCGGGCGACGCATCCCCCCGCTTTGCTCCCCGAGGCTCCGGCGCTGCTCCTAAAGCCGCCTTTTGTTTGATTCTGAGGGAGAGGGGGAAACGACCGCATCGGATGGCGCTCGGGATCCGCCTGGTTTGAGCAGCGCCTGGCTCGCCGGGATCGTTCTGGCTAGCGGAAAAGGGGCGGTCGTTCCCTCTGGCGTCCCAGACGGCTCTAAATCCTCCCTCTCGTTGCGTCGCCTAGGCACTGCGTGGTCTTACTGACCGGAGAAGGCGAGAAGTTTGCCGAGGCTTACGAGGCATTTTTGACGTTTGCCGTGGCCAACACGAAAGACACGCTGAAGTTTGCGCACGTCTACAACGATCGGCAGCCGGAATTTGCGGATGCCTTGCTGACGGAGGAGGAGAAGTATCGGGGAAAGTCAGCTGTGAGGGTTTCCTTTTTTTGTTTTCCCTTCTTCTCGTCACCTGTCATTCTACCTCGCATCACTTTCTGTAGGATGCTATACCTCGATCCGACACCTAAGTCTGGGCCGCGATTGGAAGCGTACCATCGGTCTAGGCAAAAAGCGCCTTCCTCTCTGACATCTGCGGTGTTATTGGCTCGTCCAGGTGGTCATTTTGGAGAGACGCAATAACGCAGGGAAGGTCGCCTATAAAACCTTGGAGGAGGCCTGGCAGGGCAGCAAAGAGGACAACTTCATCCTCCTGGATCTTCTGGACCAGCTGAGGACAGACCCCGGCCTTCTCTCTTCAGAGACTGTCTTGGCAGACTTGAACGACGAACTCGCTCCCGTAAGTGCGCGGCCTTCCCGGCTGCCTAACAACCGCAACGGACCTTTTTGGACGGTCCCGTCATTACGGTCACTC